TCTAATAAAAGATCATCAAATATCATTAAGTTTTTATCTGTGAATTTGAGATCTTTTGGATCTGGAACATCGTTAGCATTTTCATAAAAACGACATTTAATTGGTGATTTAGAAAAGTAGTTTTTACCAGCTTCTTGTAATACTTGCTGTATTGTTAAACCTTTACCGATTATATAATCATTATTTTTAAATAATTGAAGTAGAATTTCTTTAGGTAATCTTTGTTCGAATCCTGTTTTAATTATTTTATATTCAGGTTGAAAAAGTGATTTTCCAAAGACTTGAAGGTTATCATAATCTAAGAAATCCTTTAGAAGTAGATTTAAAAGTAAATTTGTTTTTCCACAACCTGATTTACCAACAATTAAACCTCGTATACTTCTAGGTAGTAGACCATTATTATTTCTGTTAGATGTGTTTTCATTTAATGAGAGTTTTTCAATACTCATTTTAATTATGAATAATTTGAGAACCACTTATTTATATATTTTAATTTGAGACTATTTTGAATAATTTCTGACGGTAAATAACGTTTTTATAGCAATTTGAAAATTGGGGTCTATTTTATGTAAAAGTTTTAGAACCGCTGAAGTAACACGACATTTCGTTCTCATTTGTCGCGTGATAAAAACGTCATTCCTCATAAACCAGTTTCTTTTGTAAAGACGTTTAATGGATTTAACTGTGACTCTGGTTTTCTCCCAACACAAAAAAGAAAATATTTTAGCGTCGTGCGGTGAAGCGTGACTGTGTTTGAATACGCAGCTGTGGAGCCGTGTGAAAGTTGCCAATCGGAGCTGTACAGCCGTCCTTAGTTGCAGTAAACAAGCCCTTGACTACACTTTTTTATTTGGGTCAAAATAAATTTATATCTGGGTTCATGTTATATCTTAATATAGAAATGAAATAATCAATATATGTGTGTGGTAATGGGGTTTCCTTTGCCTGTAGAAACTACTAGTGGGGTAAATTTCTCTATGACTCACCTTCTTGTACAATCTGGAACATTCAGGTGTGTTGGCATTTATTATATAAAGGAGTTATTTTTCACCGTCAGATGTATTCTAAAATGGATTTATTTCCAGATTAGAGCCGAGCTTAAGAAAAAACTTAATGATTTAGACAAATATAATAATAAAACTAATAAAATTTCAACTAGGAAAGTTTTAATAGAACGTAATCTACAGGAATCTGCCGATATAATAGCTCTTATAACTAATAGAATAAAATATTTACAGGACTCGAACAGTCAGTAATTATTAGAAATAGTACTTTTATTAAAATGAATGAAAAGAGCAAAGAAATAGATAAACAAAATATTATGAAGCAAAAGGTTCAATTATTACAGCACAGACCTAAGTGAAATACAATTAAGAAAAGATATTTTAATGAGGCAAATAGATGGTCTAAACCAAGCTCTGAATGAAGCAGGAAATGATATAACAAGAGTGAAGACCGAAATTTTAGATGTTGATGCTTGGATAATTCATAAGCAAGATGTGTTAAAATAATATTAATATTAATTTTTTAGGGCCACAAAAACCCTGTTTGACGGGGAGGCCATCGGTATCTACTAGTTACCCTGATGAGCTCTCATAGGGCGAAATGGCCAAAAATTTATTTAGGATTTCATTGAATTGGTAAGTTGTCAATTTTTATATATTTTTTGATATATAATAATTTAATTATTATTATATTTTTTAATTTGCTTCATTTAAAATTCATCGTTGCAGAATATCATTTCGGGGATTGTCGATTATGTTTGGTGTGTTTATTGTAAGTCGGAATTATTATATATTATAATGATGGATACCTCTAGATAATTCAAATGAATATAATGACTAACAGACTCTATTTTTTAAATAAAAAAAGATCGTAGGGTAGGATAACCTTTTTTTTAAAGTGAATATGATTATATGAAAGACCGGCAGAAAAAGACCGGCAGAAAAAAAAGACCGGCAAAGAAAAACCGGAAGTGAGTTAAACTCGCATATAGTGATAACTACTTATGTAGTCTATATGGTAGAGACTGCCACTGTAGCACAGGACTTTCCAGTCACAGCAGACACTGTTTCCAAAACCAGCAGCAGAACCCAATGGTCTCTAAGGGACTGATGGTTGCCTACACATGGGGAAAGGTTTAGACAAGTCTTGACAAGTACAGTATGAGTCCTGGTCCAAACCTCTGTGCTTTATTAATACACTACCCCCAGATGACATCACAGGACAGTCCAACATTTTAGAGGGCGGTAAGACTGGGTTTCCCGGCTTTCTGATGCTTTTAACCACCTCAACACATCTAGAACTGGCCCTAACCCCAACCTACCTATGTCCCCCAAAAGTGAGCAGCCTAGGTCCGACGACTGCATGCATCCTAGGTCCCACGACTGCATGCAGCCTATCTACCACCCCCTGAAATATTAGACTGTCCCGTGACCTATGGATTTCCCCTGTTTGGGGTAGGGAATTAATAAAGCACCCAAACCATGCATGATTCACACCTCAGAATCTCAACTGTGACCTGAATTTGGCTTTAAAAAAAAAACCCAGTAAAGACAAAGTACTAAAGTGAACAGTGATGCAACACTACACATGATGATGAGCAAGAGACACTGCAGATATTCAACTTACTTTTGTTTTTGGTCAAACAGTTCATCTTCTGAAGATAAAAGTTCCTCTTTAATACCATTAGCATCCACCTGATCACTTTCAGTTTTCGTTTCTGTTTTCCCAGCAGCATCACCTTCATCTTCTATATTCCCGCCTACAGTGTCTTGATTTTCTGCATCCTCATGTTGCATTTCTTCAGCGAGTACAGCCATCATCTCTTTGTGCTTGCGGGAATTTTCATGGTTGGAAAACCTGAAGAAAGAAATAATATGGTATTATTAACCTTATCCGGGATGGGTAACCTGGTCAACAAATGCCTGCAGAGGTCAGATGTGTCGGCCAAAATGCTGTAAATGGGCACCACACAATTACATCTTTGGATAAATCCAGAAGAAGAAGAAGAAGAAGAAGAAGATTAACCTAGTAACTAACAAAAAAAAAAGGATGTCTATAAGAAATCACTCGGATAAATAGTTCCAGGAAGGAAAAGCATAAAAGTACGCGTGGCAGGCCAGTACCCTCTCTCTCACACTGTCTGTTGCCATTATAACTCTGGAGCTAGTAACAGCAGAATGATCGTTCAGAAGGCCCCGAAATTCAACCTGACATATTATTGTTCAGAATACAATTTCTAATTTTCTTATTCTGATTCTACTTTTTTATGCGTGTTTCTTAAATCTTTTATTTAATTCTTCTTCTTTGAGTTAACCAGCTGTAAACTCTTGAAATGTCTTGTTCTAGAAACTGAGTATTGCACGCACACACATTTTACAGATCTGATTGATCTGTATGCAGACTGTTGGTTCCTTGCGTCTCAGGCAAACCACGCCATCTTTGAAAGAAAATCCAGATTTGTAGTTTTTACAACATGCTTGTTAGGTAGACAGTGTGTCTATTCTCTGTTTGCCCCCCCCCCCCCCCCCCCCCAAAGTGGTCCCAGAACCCACATGGGAATAATTTGATTTAATTGTTAATTATTTCCTTGAGCAGCCATAGGCCCCTTAGAAGTGACTCTGGATGATGGTTGGGAACTACTAGTGTAGAATATCATTAGGCATTGTGCCAGGTTGTGTAAAATTAAAATCTGACAATTCATATTTTTAATTTGTTACTAACAGGAAATCTCAACTCATCTTGATCCTCTTGTATCTTGCAGTATCGAGGCGAAGTAAAATTTACAGGAAAGTGCCCGTTTGTGTGCTTCGTGAATGGGCATTCCCAGGGACCCTGTTATTCTCCCTGTCCATTATCTGCATGGTCGGCCTCTTCTTCGTTTCTTATCTGGTCTGTACATAATTGCTTACTGTGGTATACTGTTTGTCGGCATCAGCATTATATGGTCAAAACATTTCAATTGTTAGACAGGAAAGCAAACAGGAAATACACTGTCAAAAATTGAAGAGCTAGCAGAAAGACAATCTGAAAACAATATATACAGTGAATTCTAGACGCCTTGGCAAATACTTGGGAACTCACGCTCGGTCACTTTTGAAAGCTTTATTGCAAGCAACACAGTAGAGATCATCATAGTAAACTGTGTCATCTTCTTCTCCATTTTCTTCTGCTTCAAATCCATTTTCCACCTGCTCATCTGAAACTGCAGAAATATAATCATGAACACCAAATGCAAACCTTAACTAAGTACTGTCGGGCAGAAATTTAATCATGAACACCAAATGCAAACCTTAACTAAGTACTGTGTTGGCAGAAATATAATCATGAACACCAAATGCAAACCTTAACTAAGTACTGTGTCGGCAGAAAAGCATAGCCATGAGACACTATTATTTACATGTACTATCAAAGCTGGGGACGAGTGGCTCCATTGTAAATTGTTTAAGCTGTTTGCATTGAACTCTAAGAATAATGGATTTGGTTTCAGGCTGAGCGTGGTTTCCAAGACCTTAGGGGTTGGAGGAACTTTGGCACTCTGTATGAAGGTATTGGCATACACACAATACACATGGCCATTCAGTAGAAAGATCAAGCCAGCAATTGGTATAAAACCCGCCCCAAAGAAATCAATTTAATTGCCCTAAACACCATTTCTGTCCCTAATTAATATTTGCCGGGATGCAAAGGTGTTTAAATCACCACTGATCACTGGCATCTTGAGGGCAAACAGGCATATTGAGAGAATGTCAGATGACAGAGACGTAAAGAACTTTGTTCAGAAGGAAGCTCAAAAGCCATAGACCATGAGGCAGATCAAGAAGACGATGGAGAGATTAACATCAAGATAAACCTACAAATACTTAGTGTCACCAACTGGAAAGAGAAGGCAAAACAAAGACAAGAATGGATGTAGGTGATATCTGTAGCAAAGAGCCTCAATGGAATGGAATGAAGAAGAAGAAAAAGAAGAAAAGAAGAAAGACGCAATTTCACAGCAATGTTTTCTCACTTGGAATTTCAATAATTAAGGCACAGAGAGTCAACTGCACAATTTACTGATTAGTGTGGGTTCCAGGGCCTCATTTGGGATGGGGGGGAGGGGGGGGAAGGGGGGGCATACCTGCTGCCTCCTAACAAGCAAGTCATAATCAGGGCTAATCAGGGGTGTTTCCTTCAAAGTCGGAGTGCCTCTACCTGAGAGATGAAGAACCAACAGTCTGCACATAAATATGCCTGATGTGTACATGCAAAGTGGTTCTGAAACAAGACCAAAGTCCAGAAGTGGACAAACAAGCAGAACATTCTGCTGGAGTTTGCAGCGGGTGAACAGAGACTGCTTAGGTAAATTTCACTATAAGTTGTCAGGTGCAGACTACAAGAAAAAACCAACAGAACATGAAGCAAAACAATGAGTTCCCTTAGAAAGCTACAACAAATATGAGTAATTAGGAGTGATAGATAACAGAATAATAAAATATGAGTAATGGGTGTGCAGGGTAGCCAGTATAAAACTGATGTGATTATGTACACACAAACTCAGGATTATGTCAGTTCTGTATGACAGCTATAAACACATATGGGCATGCCTGAGAAGTAAAGGTGGCCGGTGTGATGTTAACATCACCCATCGAGTGCTGACTGATCTATAAAACATACAGGTCTGGCACTAAACGCTGAGTTCATCACTGGCATGAAAAGGGGCCGTCACTTTTTCTGGGTTACTTATTTAAAAGTATTGTGACATCGCTTCGGTTAACCAATAATAAATCTACAATACATGTTTTATTCTATTAGTCAAAGCAATAACAACTACCCCCGTGTGGGTTCCGGGACCCTATTGTGGGGGAAAACAAGAATAGACCCACTGCCTCCACAAAAGCATGTCGTAAGAGTCGACTAATTGGGGAGCTTCCTTTGAAGTCGGAGTGCATCTGCCGGAGAGGCAAGGAACCAACAGTCTGTATTCAAGAGAATGAGATCTGTAAAACTGATGCACACGCAACACTCAGGTTCTGGAGCAGGACTGCAGTTCGGTAGTGGACGAGCAACCAGAACTTTCCGCCAGAGTGTACAGCTGGTGAACGCTAAGAAGAAGAAAGAATAACAACTACATCTATTTCTATCACCTTTCTCATTACATCTATTTCTATTGTCTTTCTCTGCCTAATTCTGTTTAGGGGTCACAGGCACGGCTAATGATTGGTTTTCAGGACAGTGCATACTTGTTAGCTTGCTGCCTGGTATACTGTTGTTTCAGCAAGCTGTTAACTCCAACTATCCATCTTCGACTGGGTCTTCCTCTGCATCTTGATATTTCCATTCTCATGTTGTATGCTTTTGCAACCAGTCATGCTGGGTTCCTTTTGACCAGGTGGCCAAACCATTTCAGTCTTTGTTTTTCAATAAATCTAACTACAGGTGTTTGCACCCTTCTAATGATATCGTTTCTTGTATGGCCTCTTCCTGTTATTTCTAACAACTACATACCGTTCTCATTTTCTCCAAAGTGTTCATCTAAATGAGCTTCCAGCTGCTGCAGGTCATTTTCTAGTCCAGACATGGATGACCAACCAGCTTCTTGATAATTTTCCAGTCTCCTGCATTGAAAAAAAAAAAGGTTATCAAAATGTTGAGGAATTGTTAACATCATCATGAAGTGAGATATGTTGCAGTTTCATCAAACCTGTGGCTCAGTAAGTCAGAATGTTAGCAGTAATTTTTGGGATTTTCCTTTCACTAGCCTATGACTGTACCCACTGTATCTACAAGGCAGCAGGTTTAAATCCCAATGGAGTTTGAGACCATTAACCAACTTATGCCAGCTAATCATATCCTCTGCTATCTAGTGCAGCTTATTCAATTGATTTTTTGTATTATCCATCTATCTATAATAGTCTCCTCTGTGTGTTTTTGGGTCTTCTTCTATCATTTTTACCCTCGTGGATTTTAGTGTAAGGAAGTTTTATTATTATCAGATTAAACCTGTGTATAATCAGACAGAAACACACCGGAAGGGGAAAAGGGGGGGGGTGAGAAAAGGGACACATATGAAGTTGTGGCAGAAAACTATTAACAACATCAGTAAACTGAAAATCTGATAGGCTAAGGTTGATGAATTCTTAAATCAGCATATCAGTCTAAAGAGAATAGTGCAACAGGTAGCCCCTGGGGAATCTGGGTAAAAACACAATATTTGAGGAAAAGCAAGACTGACAAACAAACAGACTATCGGAACTAGAACTCTGCTGGACAGAGCCCTAAATGCTCTGTCTGCATTTCCAAGGGCCTCTGCGGTCGCTCCAGGAAAAGAAAAGAATGTGACTCTTATTCATTGTCTTCTTCTTCTTTGCATTTACAGTCTATAAACTCCCATGGAGAACTCCTGCTGAAAGTTCTGGTTGGTCATCCAACTCTGGTTTACCCATCTTTACTCTTGTTCCAGAACCTGAGTGTTGCATGCACATACGTTTTACAGATCCGAGAACGTGTATGCAGACTGTTGGTTCCTTGCCTCTCAGGCAGATGCACTCTGACTTCGAAAGTTAGTTAACTTTTATGACATGGTTGTTGGGGAGGCAGTGCATCTATTCTTGTCGTCTCCACAATGGGGCCCCAGAACTAACAGAGGGATTATTCACTGTATTTGGGACCTTACTACTGCTCTCACCAACAATGTACAATCTTAATGTAACCCAAATGGTTTGATTTACTGAACTTTTGAAGAATGTGTGTCTATGACCTAGTTTTGACAGTATCATCTGTATTGATGGGGCAAGCAACATTCACACAATTGCTTTGAGTTTTTCACTCGTGCTTGAAAAAACCCAGAATGTAATACATCTCTCTAGGACTAGGGTAGATACATAATTCCAATTTGTAATAACACACACACACAGCCAAGGCAGTTTTCTTCTTTTCCGTGTTCAGCTGTAATCTCCAGCAGAAAGTTCTGGTTGTTTGTCCACTTCTGGATGTTGGATTTATTCCAGAATTTGAGTTTGTCATGCACATCCATTTTACACATCTTGCTTATTTCTATGCAGACTGCTGGTTTTCTTGTCTTCCAAGTAAATGCACCCCAAGTTGAATTAAAAAAAAAAAAAAAAAAAAACTACATCCCCTATTAATCATCTTTAAGGATATTCTTGTATAGGGGCAGCAGGTCTATTCTTGTCCACCTCCTTTCTCCAAATCTGGCACTGGAACCGACATGGATAGGGGGAAACTCAGGAAGTGAATCGAGGCAGGTCTGCACAAGTCATTATAACCTCTGAGCCATTTTGCTCTTAGACACTACACATATTAGCAAGTAAGCTTTACCTTTTTTGATTCCTCAGATCCTCTTCCCTTTTTTCTCGAGTCTTCTTTTCAATTTCAGCATGCCTTTCCTCCAGCTTTCTCTGACAAAACAATTAAAAATGCAATAACAATAAGAAAATAAATGAAAATAAGTATGTGTAGTAAATCAACAAGCAATATGTAGAAACAGTGCTGAGTTAAGAAATGACATAAAAACACTTGGACACTCCCATAAGTGCTCTGTCCTCATCTTCAGCAGCCTGCAAAGAGTTTCAATTTGAAGGTGCCAGTTTGACTGTATCTGTCCTGATATCCCTCTGAGTTTAGTGCATGGCATCAATCAGATTCCCTGGTGACTCCTTGCAGCACCATTCTCCTCAGACTGTGATGATCTATAGACTTCCAATGACTTATGACTGAGATTATACTAACTCAATATCATAGTTAACTTATGCATACTGTTCATCTTCTGCCCTTTACCCCCCCCCCCTTTCTGGAGAATAGGCCCTCAACCAGCTGTCCTCAAATCATCCTATCCATTGCTTGTCATTCACCTCACCCCCAGGCCTTTCCCATCTTTTTCATCTGATTAACTTCTTTCAAGACTTCTGGTCAAGGGATGTTTATCTTTCAGCCAGCATTCAACCGGGGTCAGTTTCGGACATCCTAGAGTGAAAATTGTGTTTAACTAGTCTGAATGTGAAAGTCTAGTTCAAGTATGACCTTCTAGGAAGTTTGAAAACAATGTGACTTGTCTAGCAAACTGTCAGTGACTTACTTTAGTGCTTGTAGAAAATAAAGAGATCTTATGAACCTCTTACCAATGCAATGATATCAATGTCAAATATGGACACTGTCTTCAGATGACAGAAGGAAAACAATCTAGACAGAACGGAAATGTTTACGTACTATGCTAGATGTAACGAGGAAAGATCAACTTAGAAACGATATCAGAAAGAGAATCGGCACAGAACCAGTACTGAACTTTAAAGGTAGACAACAAATCAAATGGTTTGGCCATGTAACAAGATTGGCAGCAGACAGGGCACCACAGATAGCAATGTTTTACAGATACAATGGTAACAGACCAAGAGGTCAACCACGCAGAATATGGACTGCAGAAATATCAGAGACACTGAAAAGTACTTTATACGAAGCGAGCAGAAGGGCCCGTTCTAGAGATCTCTTCCTCCCCTGATGCCGAAAGGCGTTCTAGGAGTAGAGAAAAGAAGAAGAAGCTTTCACGTGTTTTTAGTCAGCGTGTATGCCTCTGACCCCGGGAGTTCCAGTGCAAGGACATACTAGATATACTGTTATCAGGTTTTCTCAATATGTGTCTTATCCAATACCAGTGTCTATTCCTCATGCTCATGATTCCCTGGAGTTTGTTTAGTTCTCTCGCAAAGCTCCACCTAAGTGTTTAGCCTATTCATCATCATCTAGCATATACATTTTACAGATCTGACCTGTATGCAGACTGTTAGTTTTCTCACCTCTCAGGTAGATGCACTCCAACTTCAAAGGAAACATCCCTTATTAGTCAACAAGCCTCAGGGTGGTAGTGGGTCTGTTCTGTTTTGTTTTCTCCCCATAACAGGATCCCAGAACCAACATGGTAATCAAACTCTGGTAAACAATGGTTTCTTCTTCTTCAGCTTCCTTCATTTGCTTGAAATAGATTATCTATCTTTGCAATGTTGTCCCTAGTATGAACTTCACTGTTTGTTTTTTTTTGTAATTCACTCAGCGACCCGTAAAGTTTGGCTTGCACTAATGTGTCTCTCTTGGCCAAAAGTTTTGCCTTGACATGTTGTATTTGGGACAGTCTTGGAGGATGTGATTTGTTGTCTCCGGTGCCAATCCACATGTGCACTTGGCTGATTCGCTGATTTAAAATTTTGTGTTCACGTGGCTGCGAAATCAACTGTTTCCTGTTCTAAGACGTAGAACAATAACTTGCTCTGGTCTGTCCATAATATGGTAATCGTCTTGTGCTGGTTTTGGTGGCTTTCGGATTGATTTGATTATTCTCTTCTTCTGTTGATAATGTACTGGTATGTCAGGTTGTTCTTCATTTGCACCTTCCTTAGCTAGTTTATCAGCTGTTTTATTTCCATGAACTCCACAGTGGGATGGTATCCATTGCATAGTTACCTTAGACTGGTTGCACAGTTTGGAGAGTAGCGTCCGTATACCAGGTAATTTTCCAGACTGGAGTGTTTGAAGTACCGCTTTTGCATCTGTTAGGAATTCAATGGGTTGTGAAATATGACGTATATTTAACTAGTTTCTCTGCTGCTATTTTGATGGTTTGAACTACTGCATCATAGTTATGACAGTGCTTTCCTGTAGGTATTTTGGCTGTACATCTGGTGTTATTTGGATGCTGTGTGTACACTCCTGCTCCTCCATTTATGCTTGCGTTTTGTTGACAACAATGACAACTGTAGTGTGAACCAAATTCCCTAACATCCAGGCCACAGAGCCATACGATGATGTTTTAAATGTATGTTACAGTTTTTATTTATGCCAGACATGTTAAAAACCAACCTTGTACGCCAGAACTCTTTTGTCTCGCTTTTTCACAAATGCAACAAGACTCTGAAAAAAAAATACAGACTTTAAACATAGAATGGTCATCTGTGATGTCAACTAAATATATACACACACTTTTCTTTCTGCAAAGGGGTTCTCAGCGACAAAGTAATTAAGCTGTTTGCCTCGCATTCTGAAGGTTGTGGGTTCGTTTCACCGAGGTGCCGCTCAGTTTACAAGTGCAATTTTTACAGAGATCCCTGTTCAGTGTAGAGAGACTGAGCCAAATGCGATAAAACCTAGTGCAATGAAGTCGATCTTACTTTTACCTTTCTTCTGCTTTTCATCTCGCTATGCAAGTATTTGTTCATGGGTTAATTATTTTGTATATCTACAACTTTCTGTGATCATCCTTAATACAGGTTTCCACAGGGGGAAAGGGGGGGGGGGCAGACTAGCCATTGTAGACAGGAACTGCATTTCCTTTAAAGTTGGAGTGCATCTGCATGAGAGGCCAGGAGCTAGCAGTCTGCATGCAAATAAGCCAGAGCTGTTAAACAGATGTGGAAACTCAAGTCCTGGATCAAGCCCAAAGTTTCAAGTGGATGAACTCCCCCCATGTGGGTTCTGGAGCCTTGTTGTAGGGAAAACAAGAACAGACCCACTGCCTACTCAAACAAATGACATTAGTCAACTAACTGGGAACTTCCTTTCCAAGTTGGAGTACATCTGCCTGAGAGCAAGGAAACAACAGTCTTCATACAAATGAGAGAGATCTGAAAAATGGATTAGCATGCAACATCCAGGCTCTGGAACAGGACTATAATCTAGAAGTGGATGAACAACTGGAACTTTCCACCAGTTTACAGCTAGTGAATGTTAAGAAGAAAAAGTCTAGGCAGCAACCAACCAGGAATTTCTGGTGGAGTTCACAGCTGGCAAATGCTAACAACAATAAAGATGGGAGAACACTGACACTTATGCACAAACACAAACTCCATCAGGACAGCTCACAAGTGTACTTAAAATAAATATTTTGCTTGCCAACTGGAACGGACAAGGTCAATATTAGTGCCTGTTCCCAAAAGATTTCACAAGAGAGAATGCTGCAATGAGATTCTGAAAACTACAACAAAACGGAACTAAACAAAAAAAATTACAAAATAAGAATCAATTCTCATCCTTCTCACCCGAATTTCCTCATTTCTTTCTTTTTTAGCAGCCTCTCTCAACTTCTTGTTCTCAGCTTCCATGGCCCTCCGGCACCGCCTGTCAGGAGCTTCTCGTGTGTCGTACTTTTCTTCCCACACGTATGACTTACTCGTGCAGAAGCTGGACCAAAATGCATAGAAGGGGCCAACAACCTACAAGATGCAGAAATGACTGATAAAACAAATAATACCATTACAACTTATAAAACTCATTCATTCATTGTCCTATTGTGACACAGGGCTTGCAGTCTATTTGCCCATTCGGTTTAATTCCATGCAAACACTTCAAGATGTCTCCGTGTGGGTTCCGTTGCCCTATTATAGGGGGAAAAAAGAATAGACCCACTGCCTACTCAAAAAGCATGTCGTAAGAGTCGACTAATTGGGACTTCCTTTGAAGTCGGTGTGCATCTGCCTGAGAGGCAAGGAACTAGCAGTCTGCATACAAATGAGTCAGATCTGTAAAATGGATGCACATGCAACACTCACGTTCTGGAACAGGACTGCAGTCCAGAAGTGGACGAACAACTAGAACTTTCTGCCAGAGTTTAACAGCTGGTGAAATACGAAGAAAAAGAAGATTGTCTGATTGTGCGGTTTTAGGTCACATAGGGCTAGCAGTTTATTTTCCAAAGCTGGTCTTTATCGTGCAATCACTTCAAGATGACGGATGGAATCCAGTTCAGTACCTTTCACCAACATTCACTTTAGGACTTCTTTTGAATTTCCTTGTTTCCTCAATTCCTCTATTTCCCATCTCACTGAATGTTTGGTGATTCTCTGATTGTCTCTCTTCAGGATGTGTCCAATACAGCGCATCTTCTCTGTCTTAAAATGCCGATACTAGTGGTTGCAGTTATTTATTTCTCTGATTTCTTCTCTCCTCTTGAAATCATCCCATTTTATGTTCATATTCCTCAAGGTATATGTTTCCAAATGCATTTATCATTCGTTCCTTGTCTTTAGTAGTAGTTCTCCAACTTTTACCAGCAGATGTTAAAACTGAACAGAAATTAGAATTGAAAATATTAAAATTTTGTTGTAAAACTATATAATTTAAAGTTTAATACATTCTTCTTCTTCTTTACGTCCTCTTTTACTGCTTTGGGTTCGAGGGAGATATAAGGTCCGGCTTTGTGCTTTTCTGGCTGCTTCGACCAAAATCACATCGTGGTACTGTAGAGTTTCTCTGATGTTATCCTTCCATCTTGTTCTTGGTCTACCTCTTGCCCTACGTCCCTTTCCTTTTCTACATCATTACTAAAATAAAATAATTAACTGGAGTGTCGATTAATGTGATAAAAATCAACGAGGATCTCCGTGGTTAGACCATCTGACTCTGAATGTGGAGAGCTGATTCCATGGACAGTCAAATGGCTCGTGAGTGCAAATGTAACAAACAATCATGGGGATCTAAATGCAGCCATGGAGTCCATGCTTTGTGTGATCCTCAGCAGAGAGGTTAACCATTCAGCGACTCCTGTAATTAGGTCTGTTGGTAATGATTTGATTCTTATATTTTATTTATCTTTTTATTGCCAACAAGCTGCACAATTCATTGCCTTCAGGTAGCAGTAAACTTTCACAGGTTTTAACTGCAATTCTTTTTTTTTTCATGTTATTAACCCTGTCACCCCAGAGAAAGCCGGTTTTCTAACTTTTATGGGTTTCTGAGGATATGCCGCCTTTGAGTAGTGACTAATACACCTATGTAACAGCTTTGGTATTCGCTGCAACTGCCTACTGTATAAACATGGTTGGTAGGATTATATTTAATTTTTAAAACAAAAAATGTTTTTATTTTAAACCATATTATTTAGGGTGAAACAATATTTTGTTTTCACACTGTGAGATCATAATAAACTTAAGATGATGTCAGTCTGAACTGTTGGCTGGGTCTAAAAAAAAAAAAAACTGTTTCCTTGGTCAAAGAGAGGGAAAGCAGTTAATGCTATGCTCCATCTGTATTTAGTGATTTACTCCCCTTCATATAAAAAAAAAAAAACCTTTGTGTAAAATAATGGCTATAAATATATTAAAAAATCCACCTTTTTAGTGACTCAAGGGCTGTGATAATGCAATAGACAGCAGGCTTGCATACCTGCTCCGTGGTCACAGGTTTCAAACCCTTGAATTTTTAAAAAATTAAATTAAATCTGATTCAGAATCAAAATTTCCACGGCTTCTTCTTCTCTTCCTTTAGTTTCTGAGGGTAAAGATTTAGAAAATTATAATGATGCACTTCTTTTTAATTTTTTTGTGTGAAAAAAGTTACTTTAAAGATTTGTATGGGGTGAAAGGGATAATCGTTGTCTGTTCTGTAGGGCTACAGTGACTGAATGGGCAATACAATCAAACACCCCTTTCCCCTCTCTCTCTCCTTCCTACTCCTGAAAGTTTCCCTACTAAAATAATAAACCTTACCTCATCATAATCTGACTGGGAGTTACCAAACTTGGGGAACTCTTCATCTGCTTTTCTTTCTGGCATGAAAGCATAATCCTCCTCGGCCAGAGACTCAAAAACTTTGCTATAAACGGCATAGAATCCCTGTGTAGTTTTGTTAAAGAGAAATACGTTTATTCAACTAATCTGTACATTTTTTTATATATATCATGACATTAGCAAGAAATGAAGTAAACAGAAGCAATGCAAACTAACACAGTAAGATACTTCGTTATGACTTCTAGAAGACTGTGTGTGTCAGGGGTCGTTCCGGTTATGAGACATTACAGTATGTGATGATGATGAATCAGCAGGTCGGTGTATAGTGACCCCTAACTAAACTCAGGGCTAGCGTAGACAAGCCGAAACATGGATAAATCCGTGTTTGCTGAACTAGACTGCCGGGTGTCGGTGAACTTCACAAAGTGTCGACTCAACGCTGAACCCTGGTAGTTCAACAAACGACTGCGCAAAGGGCAGATCCAGGGATTCTTGGCAGGACATCTGTAAGACATAGACGCTGTTTTACCAGAGGTTAGACTGTAATAGTTCAGTAACAGATTGTAACGAACCGGTAGAAATGTGGCGTGTGTTAGATGTTAGCTGTGATTCGTACAGTCTGGTGTTTGACCAAGCGTGGTTAGTACTGTACAGACGTAGGTAGGAAGTGTTGCACTTAGACCTCACATAGAAGATAGATTCAAGATAGCAGTTCTCTTTTCAGTAGTGATACCTCGTTATGGGAAAGAAGGTCATGCACTGTTTGCAGCAATAGTATCTGCCGACACACCTTCAGCAATCACTCGGCGTGTGCCGCAGAACCCTTGGCAACGGGGGATAGCGAACTTGAGACAGCGCTGTACAGGAGTGCGGTTGGAGCTCAGAGCTTATTTAATTAAAAGTGGAAAGGTGCGTCTAGTGATTTTAAAACTGGAGCGCCGGCCTGGTTTAAAATAAGGACCTCTGCCCCTCCTGAGGCTAAACTGTTTAAGTTTAATATCTTTGATATTAAAAATTGTGTGTGTGTGTGTGTGTTCAATGATAGTTCGGTTTGGTGTGTTCCTTTAGCAGATTTATCTGTCACTGGCCTGCAGAACAGCCACAGATTTAAACCCTAGACAAGCAGGTCACTGGTAGTGAGTCTAAACTCTTTAAACCATGCACTCCTTTCAAGATTTGTGTTATTTTTGTAATCAGAGAAACTGGGAGCAAGACTTGCTGAATGAAAGAGAAGAATTGTCAGAGGAACAACAGAGAAATAAGAAGTAATATTTGCTTGTTAATACTGTTACTCTTGTAGCATTGTAGCAGGTCTGTGTTGAGATACAGAGGAAGAGAGGGAGGGAGAGGGAGAGAGGGAGAGAGAGAGGGAGAGAGAGAGGGAGAGAGAGAGAGTGGGGAGGGGATAGACACATGCTGTATGCAAAAAAGTAAATAAAACAAGTGTTTTAAAAAAATAAAAAAAAAAATATATATAATCAAATCTAGATTTTGCATTTTTTAGAAAGCATTAAGAAAAACATCAATACAATAAAATAAATAACAAATAAAGATTTAAAAAAAAGGGGAAGAAATTAGCTGTTAAAAAATGTCTAAACAGCCTTCTCAAGCATGACAAATGGAGACAATAGATGTGTAGATAATCCAAATTACACAAGCACTGAGAGGCCAAAGGTAATGCACTTGATGTTCATCCACGGCATTGAAACAATTGCACGGCATAGAAGGAAATGGATGAATAAACTGGGAACCCTATGTGATACATAATGACAACAACAACAAATGATGATGATGATGTTACAAGAACCATCAATAGTTACAATGCATTAAAGTTTAAAAACGAGACATTACATTTTCATCATCCCCATATCCAGAGTAACAGGATGAGTTGAAATAGGGGAAAATATCCACACTGTTATCATCGTACTTGTCTCCCTTGCCCAAACCTGAAAAGGGTAAGTGTAGAATTTTACATTTGAAAATAACATCAATTTAAGCAGAAACAAAAAAGTAAACCATATTCTATGCCCTGAAGTGAATTAGGGTATATGATGCCAGTTCCCTATTCAACACAATTAACTTTACACAGATGGTTCTGTAATCCACCATGCTAGAAGCTCGTAAGCTTTCACGGCTCAGGTTGGAGGGAGAGTTGTGAAGGAAGATGCTGGATCTTTTGCCATAACTACAAGTAGTCTGACTATGAAGGTCATGGCTGTGACTAAAGCAGTAACATGGCTAGAGACACAGACTTTCACTGGGGCATGCTTTCTCTGTGACTCGTTGAGTATGCTCAGGAAGATAGAGAAGGGCTGGGTCCGAAGGCAGTGGTTGGTGGCTCTACAGAATTCATGGCTAACAAAGATTAGTTTCATTTTCGTGCCAGGACATGTGGGGGTACAAAGAAATGAGCAAGCTGATACACTTGCAGGTAAGGCTACTGTAAAAGCTGGACAAGCTATGGACCAGGCTGATATACTGAATGCTCTAAGAGAGTTAAGACCTTTGGATGAACCAACTGAGAACTGTAATTCTGCAACTATGGTCAGACTGCAAGACCATCATGTTTAATGGAGTGTCACCAAACAAGAACACTATGCGAGTAGCCAAAGAAGAAGAATAAATCAAAAAAATACTGGTGTCGTTAGCCGCTACACGCTGCGGGATTTACTGAGGAGGGGATCTGAGTACTTATGGACTGAGTTGTTCGACGTGCAATGAGGATAATCTGTCGACGTACTAACTAACTTCAGGGTGATGAGAAATAGCACTGAAACAGTTCACATAGAGACACCCAAATATTTTATAAAAGTATACACAACTTCCCTGTGTGGGTTTTAGGATCCCACTGGGGGAGGGTGAGGGCATAGACTCACTGCCCCCCCCCCCTCCCCTCAGAAAGCATGTAGTAAAAATCTACTAATCATGGGTGTGTCCTTCCAAGTCGGAGTGCATCCGTCTGAGAGGTGAGCATCCAACAGTGTGCACACAAAAAAAGCCAGATCTGTAAAACGGATGTGCACATAAAACTTAAATTCTGGAATAAGACAATAGTCCAGAAGTGGACGAACAATCAGAACTTTCCGCCGGAGTTTACACAGCCAGTGGAATGCCAAGAAGAAGAAGATAAAATGATCTAACCACAGAACACCATCAAACACGTCAATTTAAAGGAACTGTACCTCCTCTAAGGATAGCTTCCCTGTGCTTGTCATACCAAGCTCTCTCTTGTGGATCACTCAGGACTTCGTACGCTTGCTGCACCAATCTGAACTGAGCAGTGGCTTCTTCTATATTGTCAGGATTTTTGTCTGGTTTAAGGAGAAAAAGTTAAAGTTTATTATTATTGTACTTGATTACATTGCTATGGTGTAGCGACTAGATGCTCACCTTCAGATCCAAAGGTTGCAGGTTCAAATCTACATAAAGATGTATTTTTTCATACATGACCTTGTACACTTAAATGAGTAAATGGTATAATCAAGGGAAGTAAAGGTGGCCAGCAAGAATTCATAAGAAATTCAGGACTAGGAGTATTATGTTGATGTTCTAGAAGAAGATGACATGACTATATTTGCATAAATATAGAATTTTCTACATAAACAAATGCAGATTTGTATGTATCTGAAAAAAAAAAAAAAAAGACATCCCCTGAAAATAAGCCCTGGTGCATTTTTTAAAGCAAATATTAATACAAGAGTGGGTCTTATTTTTTTAGGAAACACTGTATCTTCTCGAATTGCTTCTGTGTTTATTTCTGTTGATCAAAGTCTGGATGATGATCTAGTATGTGCTCAGCTGTTTTATTAGAGTGCTCCACATGTTTTCTGAGTCTACAAGCTTTGTTCTTCTTTTCTTATGGTCCATATTGTGTGGATGTTGGCAATCACATCATGACCTTAACTTTCTGTCACGTGTACTGGCAATCATTTCTGATACAAACTTCCCTTTATGACATTATATATATTATTGTTATTTTTCTCTTTTGATCCCCTCTTGTTTCTCTTCCCCTCCACTTTCCTGCTGTCATGACAGACTCAAGGGAATGAATGAGTGGATTGGCTTGCTGGTAGGGCACTGTAGGTACAGGAAGGACAAGCAATGGATTGGGCCGAAATTCTAAATGCTCTCAAGGAGGCAGGATGAGTAGGTGATTCAGGAGACAACAGTGAATTCGCAACATTAAAAAGACTGTAAGTACTTGAGGTCACAAGAGGTATTGCTTGACATGAACAGTATACAGGAGGCCAAAGAAGAATAGTAAACAAATATAGAACTGGTGTTGGCAGTCGCCAAACGCTGAGGGATATAATGAAGATCGATCTGAATGTTTACGGACATGTCTGATGTGGATAATCAGTCAACCAACTAACATTAATAACTAAAGTTCCAGCTTTCTCATGATGAGTCTGAAGAATGTGGCTTGTCCCCTCATGTCAGCTAATTCCTTTCTAGACATCTTCATTTTCCTGCCATAACAAGCTGTAATTTTCACAACACTTATGTAAATAAACTTTGGTTCAATGAGGCTGACATACCTGGATGGAACTTCAGTGCTAATTTTCTGTATGCCTTCTTCAAATCATCCACAGTGACATCACGCTCTACTCCTAGGATTTCATAATTACATCTGATCTTTGAGGCCATATTGAAGTTTTAACTCAAACACCTTAAGAAAAAGAAAACATCTACTAAAATAATCTGTTCTTGAAAGATTATAAAGTCTGGATGCTATTAGATAATATACGTGGAACAAACAATTTTTCCATAACTTGTCCTCTGATTTACTATATACGAACTCCCAACATTGTAAATTGTGAAATCACTGAAAATTTTCTCATGCACAGAAGTGATCCTAATTATATAGGGTAAGGGTTTGTGATTTTTAATTAAATATATTACAATTTAAATCAGTAAAATTGTTTCCAGCACTAGACAGTAGATACAGCTGGAAAAAATGTTGGCTATCATCCGACTAATGGTCGGCAAAGATGGCGGCCGCAAAATATCCTTTCGAGCCACAGTCACGTGACTTAATTTGTGAATCTCCGGCAACTATCGCCACCGCCATGTGTCTTCTGACCTATGCCGCTCATGCGTCGTGGAATGGGGCTAAACTAGATGGCTAGGACCCACGAGCAGCAGCTGCAGTGTGCTCGTGACCGCTAGTGCGCAACTGACACGCGACCGTGGCTCGAAAGGATATTTTGCGGCCGCCATCTTTGCCGACCGTTAGTCGAAGGATAGTAAAAAATGTCTATTTGTCTATACTTACTTTATTATATAATTATACTATACCATTTTTAACTACAACTACAACTTATTAAATAATTTTGGCTCTACTGGCAAATCCGGACGAAGAATAAAAAGCCGTGGACGACTTAGTCAGAGTTCTCTCCCTTGGCCGCACTCCAAACAGTGATCGGAAAAGCCACAACGAAACAAACAACACACTTACCTATCATCCTACGATTGCCTGTAGGGCTGCGTACGGTTGCGTGAGGCATCGTGAAGGGGTGCGTGGTCATCATATGGTTGCGTGCAGGGTTGCGTACAGTTGCGTGAGGCATCGTGAATGGTTGTGTAGTCATCATGCGGTTGTTGGGTTAGAGTTAGGGGTAGGGTTAGGGGTAGGGTTAGGGTTAGGGGTAGGGTTAGGGGTAGGGTTAGGGTTAGATGTGAAAATTTTGACGTAGGATTTCCAAATACTGGCCGACAATCAGATGTTTGTGGGAGTGGCGCCACTGAAACTCTGCCAAATATGACGCCAATAGCGTGCGGCTGGTGCCCCCAATTGTTGGCGAATTGTGCGTTTGACCAGCATCCAGAGGCCCTCGATTGTTTGTGTGTGTGTATGGGACTGTGCGCGATTATAGGGGAATCCGGCGTCAAAATTGTCAAATCTAACGCTAAACCTAACCCTACCGCTAACCCTAATCCTACTCAACCAAAAAAAAAAACAACACCCAGATTTGTCCTGCAGCGTCGAAAAAAAACCCAGATCTGGGGGAAACAACCAAGCATTGGCAGCCCTGATGTCGACGTGACTGTCTTCTTTGTTTCGTTGGCTTTTCCGATCACTGTTGGGAGTGCGGCCAAGGGAGAGAACTCTGACTAAGTCGTCTAATGCTTTTTATTCTTCGTCCGGATTTGCCAGTAGAGCCATAATTTTTAAACTTTCTATTTTCAAAATTTTAATTTATGTATGACCTGTTCCCCCAAACAGTTCAGCTTCTTTTTTTTTCCAGCGTTATGAGCTGTTGAGGTTCACTATTTATAACAATAATAATAATACAAACAGTTCACTTGTCTCCATTCATCTGTCACTGAACTTACTGACCTGCAGCTGGCGACAGCCGCTTTTCTTGGATATAAAATATTAATTATTATTATATACAGGATACAATCTATTTTCTGCTGAATCTTTTACCTCTTCTCGTCACCTAGAAACCACACTTTTAAACGGTAAAATAGCCAAACAACGTGTTTAAATCCTTGGAATATTATGCTTTCCTTGTGATCATGTCCATCAGTGGTGAAATCATTTTAATTTGTACGTTGATAGCAAGCGGCCATGTTAAGGACTCTTGTCATTAGAAAACGCAAAAGTGCATACAGTACAAGGTTGCCATATTAGCGTTTTTGACGCCAGATTCCACAAATTTGGCGTATTTGAAATTGAGCTGGTGTAAGACAATGAACTGGCGTATTTTGTTTTTTTCCCTGGCTTTTCTAAACAAGACATGCTCACATTTTCTTCAGATTTGCTCAAAAAAGCAATGTAGGCATGCAGTTAACATCTTTATTTCAATTTGTCTTTGTTGTAATGTCCTGGTACGGACTAACGGAGATTCGCGCCATCTCTTATTGTATGACTGCTCTGTAAAGATCCTACTGAGTGGCAAGTAGCCATTAGAGCGCTGGCGTCAGTCAGTCAGAATACAGTCCATGGGAAAGCAATCACAAAAGAAGAGGATAAACTGTTAGGAACTCTTCAGACCATTAATGTAGCACCGAGCCATTGTTTCTGCTTTTTTTTTTCATTTTCATATCTGTCCCTGCATTTATTACTAAGGGAAATAACCTGCTAAACTATGAATACTTTTGTCTATGGAGTTGTCATCCTGCTTTTCAATTTAAATGTCAGATGTATATTTTTTTATTCAGTCAAACGCAAACATAAGTATAGGACAGGGGTAAGTTAAACAAATAAATTAAATTAGCAGAAATAATTTACATCTTTCCATAATGCATTACACAACAGTTAAGTGTAATTTCCGCTATAAATAAGCAGATTTAATCGCAACCAAGCCTTACGTCCTTTTCAGGACGTAATTTTTTGTTATTTGAAGCCCCACTCTGGCTTTTGCCAGGGGCCGCAATATAGGCAGGCCATAAAAATGGCCAAATGTCTGAACGCGGTTTCTGGGACCTCTCCACGGTGATCCTCATCCGCATGGTGGCACTTTGTGTCATCGGGTGTTTATCGCTTGTGTGATGTCCTGGTGGGGTAAAAAGCCAATCCAGCCACACTAAATGTGAACGGTCAACTTTTTCGAGAGGAGGTTGTAGCAAGCCTTGCCAGCTGCTACACCTCTTAATGTTCTAAAAATATGAAAAGGTAGCGGATGTCCAAGAAACGCCATTTAAGTTTGGTTGTTTAAGCTGTATATCGCACCTTTACATCTCAAAATATCTGCCGGGTGGTTTCCCAGTTCAGTTTTGATTACCTACGTAATATCCTTCGGGTAGTCGGGCGGCCAGGCTGGGCATTTGGGAGACCGACCCCTCCCCACCCCCTAAAAAAGGCACTAAAGATTATGGCAGCGATGGACATGGAGCAGAGAATGCTGTTCACACTTTACCAGCACTTAGTCATCTTAGTGATTGAATATGGATCACGGTTACTCACTGTCTCGTAGAGTCATCTAGTGAAACTGGAGTGCATAGAGAATGAAGCTATGCGGGTGATCCTGGGTTGTACAAGAGTCAGTACAAAACTACACACGCGTGTGTTTACTCAGTGATTCAATGAGTATGATCGAGGGTTCAGGCAGGTTCGGTGTGAACACAATGGCTTGAATCATTACAGAAGTCCACCTTTATTTTTGTTCCGGGACACGCAGGCGTCGATGGGAATGAAAGAGCAAGTAGGTTGGCTGGATCCGCTATCACTACCGGCGGTTAGCCTATGGATCATGCTGATATTATTAATGCCCTCGGAGAAATGGGAAGGATAGAGGACTTTGGGGGCAGTGAATCCACATCCCTGACAAAAAGGCGGTCTTGGGAATTAAGATCGGCATAGCAAAAACAAAACGAGAAGCACACCAGACACATCAGAAGACTTGTTAATCAACATAGAACTGGTAATATTAGCCATCGGACATTGGGGTTCATACTGAGGGTAGGATCTGAGCACCTAGGGACATGTTCGGAGTGCAGTGATGATAACCCAACTAACTAACTAACTAACTAACTAATTCATAATTAATCGCCCCTGATTCTAATTACATCTTTATGAATTTTTTCAACATGTCTCATATCCAACAGTAGCGTCTTTTCCTCAACTCTTGATTGACTGGTTTCATTTGAGTTTTCTGCCAAAGATCCAAATTTATTGATTACATCAGTCCATTTGTTTCCCAGTATTCGGCGCAGGCTTTTAGTTTATTAGTAACTGTTTTAGTTGTTCTCTATTGGTCAGCTTTATAAAAAGCACTAGAAGATAGAAGGTATTAGAGTCTGTTTTAGAGTCAGTGTCATCAATATCTTCTGGAGCCAGTATATGTCACACAGGACACATAGTCTATATTTCCGTTCCCTTATATCCTGTTTTCAAAGAAGCGGGAGCCCTAAGGCAACTTATCACAGACATCAGATGGAGACAGTCTTCATTCTCGGCCATATATGAGAAGAGGGAAATAGAACATATTGTGACCACTTGAAAGATCTGTGGAAGTAGGGATAGAGAAAGACAACGAGAGAAGATGCTTGACAGTCTTATTGCATGGCATGGAGGTGTGTCGGCACACGAACTGATACATGCTGCAGGAGATCGCAGATTATGGAGAGGCATGATCGCCCACGCAAGTCGGCAAGGCACCTGATGATGATAATATATCCTGTACAGTCAGTTCAAGAACAGAAGAGTGGTTGACTAGTATTTTTTTTTTGTTTCTTCACCTCTGTTGAATTCGTCCCATTTTGTGTTCAATATTGTCCTCAGGGATTTGTTTTCAAATGTAACTTACTTTCGTTCCGTGTCTTTGATGGTTTTTCCAAATTTCCCTGGCATATGTTAAAATTGAAATAATTTTAGAATTGAAAATAATATAACTTGGTTTAAAACTATAAGCCTTCAATTTATTAGTATTCTAAATTTTGTTTAGGCTTTTAAGAGCTGCGGATGCCTTGTCGATGCGTGTCATCATTTACTTCTCTGTATTTCCCTGACTATTATTATTACTGCATAAACAAGGAAATTGATCTGTCTTCTTCTTCTTCTTTTGTTCGCCTGAAATAAGTTGTCTATATCAGCAGTTTTGTCTCTTGTATAAATTTCACTGTCGTTGTTAGTTCATTCAGTGGTCCATAGAGTTTACGTTCCACTGTTGTTCTTTCTGGCCAAAAGGTTTGCCTTATGG